CGAAGTGGATGGTGTGACGAGGATGGTGGAGGCGACATGGACAGCACGGGAGGAATGAAATGGTGCGGGAGAATAAAGTGAAGGCTGAAGAAGGATAGAGAGCGTTGAAAGGCAAAATGCGTCGGGAGAAACGAGATGACGGACTTCTCCAGCCTTCCTTCATCACTTTTCACAGTCGTTTCCGTTTCCTACTCGTTCCACGCTCCAGACGCCCTCCGAGCGCATTGCCTTCCCTAGGTCCTCGTCATATCGTCATCCCCATTGCATCTGTTACTTTTTTGACGGTCCCGACGATTCTTCTCTAACCACTTTTACCATTCCGTCATTCTACTTGTTCCTGCCATATGATTCTATGTCCGTTGTTCTCATTGCTGGGCATTCCCTCCGCTCTTTTGGCCTTTCTAATATGTATTTTCGTTGGTCTTGGTAGATTACTTAGCTGTGTAACTGTGCGTAAATTCTCTCATTTCCTCTGCCCACCCCTCCTTTTTGTCAAGTTTTCACCGTTCGGAGAGATTTTTTCGAGGGTCTTTTCCGTCTTATTTGAGAATAAATCGGTCTTGTTGTTCTCTCCTCGCATTGTTGCGGTTTCGCTTGCTTCGCGGGCCCTTTCTCCGATCGTTTGCACCACATCCTCCAACGTGCAGTCTCTTCGGGCTCCCAACGCTATTGACGTCAGTTGTTCGCATATCCCTTTCCCTCTCTCGGACTTTCTTCATCACCTACCTGTACTTCGTCTTTGCTTCTGTTGTAACATCCATCTGTTCGTGTTACAAGACTATTTTTTTTGAAATCCTACATATTTTTTTTAATTTATGAAAACAAATAATATGACAAATATGAATTACAACATTATAAAAAGGTATAGGACAATAAATACTACCTCTTACCGATTGCGCTACATCTTAGTTTGGACTATCACCTAACGCCCTCGTATTCGCGGGAGGGCTAGATACTTATGAGATCGTGTTGGATTGTCGAAAAGGGAGCGGGAATGAGAATATAGTCCGGCCTTAAGGACTGGTACTAGAGTGTGCAGAGGATGAGGAGGGACCCGGCATAGTATTACTTCAACATACACCAATAAACATCAAAACACCCGATCAGAGAAGTCGGTCACTCATTTTTTATTCAGAGAGACTTCTTAATCGGTACTGAAAACGTGTCAATGTTCAGACTTTCCATCTACGAATCTTATAATACGGACTCGTAACGTTGTGAATAATTCCCACAACAAAGGTTTCATTAAGTAAAGGGCAATCAGTTCAGAAGCTACAAGTTCGATTCAATCTCAGCCAATAAGCTCGAAGCCGCATATCGACATATGTTTAAAAAAACGTAATTGAAAATATATCATTAATTAATCTCAGTGTTGCGGATCAATTACATTCTGTGAATCCATTGGATAATTGTAATTGAATTCTGTAGCCGCTCCGGTTTTACTTTCCACATCCCTTATTTTGCGTGATTTTTCTTTTTTCGTTTTTTTTCTTCTCTTCCTCCATCGGCTTGCGCTGTGCATTCCACGCAAGTTTGTTAGTTTCGCTTGCAATATTTTCAATCTGTAGAAGTTCTGGGGAACCTTCGCATCGACGTCTGAATAATGAATGGGTAGTGCGTTGCACGAGGATTAAAAAAGAAATGGAGCGGTCGCGTTTGCGTCCTGCTCGAGCTCGGCTTATTTGAAAAGAAGACGCCGTGACGCCGTTCTTTATGCAGACTCCGGTTAAAGGAAAGGAGCCCATAAAAGCATCGATGCCCGTCGACGTTTTAGGGGAGCGTAAGAGATTAACATATTAAAGATTGCAGGTTTGATTCGGGCCGAGTGCAGTGAATGTTTGTTGTGAATATGATAGATGACCTGAAATATCCTCTCTAAAATATCGCGACGAAATGAAGTCCGTTTTTTAGTCTGAAAGAAACAGAACGTTAGATGTAATTTCGGGAATTACGCAAAATAAAAATTGAATTGAATTGATCCACTACCATTCACTTAACAATTGAATTTGACTATTCTTATGTGCCGTTTGGCTTCATGTTTATTTAATTAATGAGAAATGGGAAGGTTTGTTTAACTGTTTGATGTCTGGGAGGCGATAAATGTTTCTCTGCGAGTTTTAATATTTGAACTATTAAACTACCTAATACTAAATTGTTGATAGTATTAGTTATCATGACCGGGAATCGACCTTGAATGATACAGTTTTCGCCCAGTTGCTTTAACTACTGGACTACCGAGGCAGCCTATGCTTCAGCCTGATTCATGGGCCAATGAATTTAATATTTAATTTACACTATAAACGAGGCATATTAAATACCCTTAAAGATGACTGCTGGACTGCTGGGAATGAAAGAAAAAACTGTCATTGTTTTAACAAAATACTTATATAATAATAATAATAATAATAATAATAATAATAATAATAATAATAATAATAATAATAATGTAATTAAGTGCTTTAAATTTCGTCATGTCAAGTCTGTTGAGAAGTGCGACCTCTGGACCCCGCCATCGCCGAGGCTCGCCGCTGCGCTGGCCGCTGTTCGTCTCGGGCGAGGCGCTTTGGGGCGCGATGCTCCCTCGCTCCAGAAGGCGCCCGCCCCGTTTATTTCCTCCCAAGAATTCGCCCCCGGGCGGTGCCTCGGGCCTTGAACGCCGCTTCGCTCGAGAGTTATTGCATCCAGGGAAGCACCGGCGGGAACAGTTTCTGGGAAAGGCGAATTTGCGGCGTTTAAAGATTGATCCAATTCCATCTGTACGTAATTCAACGAATTTTATTGAAAGCATAGTATACAGTAACACCACCTTCCTGCGCAACTCTGGAAAATGCATCCTAGTGCGCAAAATAATTTTTTTGGCGTTTTAATTAATTTAGGGAACATTCGTTCAACCCGTAGCTCTGTTAGCCAGGGATGTTGGAAGTTTGGATACCTGCAAAACAATCATTTACAATGTTCGCAAGGGCTAAGCTAGAGAAAATATTATTAAAGGTTTGCTAGCAGAAAATACAAAATCACGAAAGCTTAATGCTTTGAATGCAAATCGTAGGATGGTCGATGATGTATCCGTGTATCGTAAATTGGTGGTTTCTTTGGCTAGATTGGATGGGAACTTAGTTTATCAATTTCTATACAAATTCAACATTAATGTTTTCTAAAAAAGATAAATAAAATGGTAATTTGATATACCTTGGTGTGATTGTTATTAGCTTTTACATCCCATTTTAAAATAAATTTGATGTTTCTGTGTTCGTCCTTTTTGGTAGACCACAAAAGTGAAGGATGTAGTTATTTCAATGAGAGATACTGTAATTTCAATAGAACGAAAGAATAGTTTCCACACTATTTAAGGAGAATGCATGTGCTAAATGCAACAACTTCCAACAAAATTATGTAAATGCAATTAATTATTTTAGCAATTAACATTGAGAGGTCATAGACGAGACTCGACCAACTCTGGAAAACTGATCATAATTCCAGCTTGTTGCTTTGTGGGACACTATGCGTGACCAATCGACAGGTAACCAACATCTACTACCGTTCTCGCCATTCCCTGAATTCTACTGTGCGAGAGCCGCGTTTAAGCGGAAGACATTCGTGTCAGTTTTATTATTTCCTAAAAATTCGCCTGTGCAGCAAGCGGCGATGATAACGAAGCCGGAGAGACAGCGGCAGGTAGAGAAGCAAAGGAAACTGGAGAGACCAAGGCAGCAGGCAGTCAGGAAGGAAAGGACGTCCATAGTGGTGATGCAATGACGACAGGCGAGGGAATGTACGCAGGGACGGAAATGGCGGAGGTAGAGACGACGTACGCTGCGGAGACGGAGAACCGTCACTTGGCAATTGCGCTAGTGGAGGGGGAGGGGGAGGGTGGACAGGTGCAGGTGATGATTGCCGTGGCGGCGGGGACAGAGGCGATGTCATACGGTATGGCAGTGGACGAAGCAGCGGCATCAGGGACAACGTGGCAGGGGAAGACTTTGGAAGGGTTAAGGAGGCGGAGGCGCAGACGGTGGAGGGAAAGACTGTGGTAGGCACGGTTATGTAGGACCACTGTGGGACCACTGGGGAAGGAATAGCCGCGGCCAGCGCGGCCGTCTCCGTGCATGGCGGCACGTGGGGACTAGGGATGCGACATCGATGTCGATGTTTTCAAATCATCGATGTTTTTGTAGAAATATCAATTTCTTAAACATCGATGAATTAACAGCGATGTTGTTTTAACATCGATGTTATTTTAACATGTACATTTTTATGATCGATGATTTTTCTTTTCCGATGTTTTGTTTCTGAACGAAAATTTCCCATGATCACAATACTGTAAAAGTTAAAATATGAACTAATAAGTGATGGTAACACTATAGTTCATGTTTTGGAACCAAAGGAGCGCTGTTTGTACAACCTTCATCGACCAAACTCTCCAAACGCGATGACCTCCAGGGCATTGTATTCCCTCCTCCATCTGCCATCTTCCCATCTACCCTTATTCTGCGAAATGATAAACATGAACACTGTCAATTTAAATTTCAATGCTTACGAATTTGATGTTAGAGGTTACTTTTCCAGACTAAATGATGATCGATGTTGAAAAAAACGTCTATGATTTTTAGTTGACGTATTTTGAACATTGAGCCTGATGGCCCGAACAGTGGGCCTGATGGCCCGAGTCTCGCCACGTAAAATAAGGCCAATTCAATTCAATTCAATTGATGTTTTAATTTTGAATCTATGAATAATTTGAATCTTTGAATAATTAATCATCTATGTTTTGTTGTCGATGTCGCATCACTAGTGAGAACGCGAGCTGCGGTAGTGGATTCAGCAACCCAGAGGACGACGGTCGCGGAGGCGGCGGCAGGGCTACTGCGGAGGGGGTGGCCGTGGCCGCCACGAGTGTCTCCGTGGAGAGCCTCGGAAGGGACGTCGGTGGAGGGGACGCGAACTACCCTGGTGGATAGAGCAAGGCACGGGACGGCGGCGACGGGGCCGCTGGGGAGGCGATGCCCACGGCCGTCCCTGAGGACGGCGTCAGATGGGACGGCGGCGATGGCGGAGGGGACGAGCGCTGCAGCAGTGCAGGCAGCGGTGCGGCGGGGAAGACAGTGCAGCTACCGGCAACGGCCGCGCGGAGACGACGTGGGGACGCGTTGAGCCTTGAGCGCCGCTGCCCAGAGTTATCGCCGCGTGCGATGGGCCGTGCGGCCGCCGCTCGTCAATTGCCCACGCGACGCGACGGCGACGACGACGACGTGGGGCTACTTTCGCTGCTTTATTGCGTGAGATACTGCGCGGTGCGAACGTTTGCTGTGACGGACGGCCTCTTACGGGAAAGAATGTCTATGCGTGGAACGTTCGTTTGTTTTCCTGCAGATTCATCTGCACGCGTTTTCGAAATGTGGTGAAAAGCGTACAGAATTGAAATATTCAAATGCCGGACTGTTTTCTTAGAACTGTTACTTTTGAATTGAATAGGTTTATCCGATTCCAGTGTTTCTTGAACTGGACACGTGTGGGGAAATATTTAGACTTTTTTATTTTATCTGATTTGTAATTCGGAAACCTGGGGGATTTGGAAGAGTGTGACTATAAAAAATGTAAGGTTTAGCATACAAGCATACTAATTATTTGATTAGTCAATATGCAGAATGAAACAAATGTATTTCGCTTACATTCTAGTATGTAATTTTAGAAGATATAATGATAATTTAATTTACTATGATAATGATATATATGTGAAGCACGTATTAGAGATAATGATTTTATAGAGGATTTTAGTTTTATGAAAGTTCATGAAATATAACAGTGGCGCAATTTACGAAATGAACTAATCAGTCGCATTTGCATTTAAAATTATTCGAGAATGTGAAATTTCTTTTAAATGTGTATTATTCTTTTGGATTAATAACAATAATAATAATAATAATAATAATAATAATAATAATAGTCGAATACAAACGGGAGTCATATAACCATATTTACTTTATCGTTCGTTTCTTCTAGACTCGCCGAATGCTGGCGAAGCAATAAAGTAGGTTCGCCTCGCGTCGCAAGTGCATGTCGGGGATTCGCGTTTTAATGGTGCTTGGCTTAGGCACGCGGCGGGGAATGGAATTTTAAGATTTCGCTGTCCCGGGAGAGCGATATTTCTCCGGCCGCCCCATTCGTTCCCGGCCGACTACACCTGGGGGCCTCGCCGGGATGGGCAGCGCCGGCCTGCAAGGCGCGTTCCGCTGCCCAAGGCGAAGGGAGAATTACGCCGTTTTAAAATTCCTGGCCGTCCAGATCCACTCGTACTTGCTCCGTGCTGCGCCAAAGAAAAGCAGTGGAGGAGGAAAAAAAACCAAAAGGTTCAGTGGGTGCCGTCGGCGATTTCTAGCGGGGTTGCTTTCTTTTTGTGCCAATGAGAGAGGTAGGATGAATGGGCTGCTGGTATTTAATTGGGTTCGCTGATGAGAGAGGGCTTTGAATTAATGGATTCTTGAGCTTATTAAAATACATCGTTCTGTTTGCTAATTTTTTGTTTTACCCTTTATGTCTCCCCTGAGATATTTTTGACAAACTTCGTTTATTCATGTAAATGCGTGTGTGTTGAATTATGACTCTATAAATATTATTTGAATTTTTTATTCTCTAAATGTGTATAATTTACGCAAGATAAAATATTTCACTCTCAACTACTTCCACACTATTCAACATTTTCACATTATGCTTTACCTATGGAAAAAACGGGAATGGATTATACGTTGAATTTTGTTTCCGTGAATCTGGGTATGAACTTACGATATATAATTATTTATATAATATATTGTATATAATTATATTTAATATATTTTTTCATGAAAATTGATTACAAAAAGTTCATCCATGTTATTCGCATTTACAATGTGTACAGATCTTGACGATTTGTAGCAAAAATATGTTGTTTCTATTATTAATAAAGAGTATTTTACTTTATTTCATTTAAGAAAGAAAATTGATCTTGGTTACATTTGTTGACGGCTTGACTAGTATGTCCACTGACTTTTCTGTCTTTGCCTTTTCTTCTTACTTTCTCACATACTTCATAGTACGTATACAAAGCATATTGTAATGCTGAGGAAAAAATGTTTGTGGAGAAAACACTAGTACTGATATCGAAAGAGTAAATAAATATTTTTCCTTCTCTAACACGTTAAGTAGTAAGAAAACACATTTTGTCAGTCCTTGATACCGAAAAATTGGTTGACGGCAAAATGTCCGTCCGCGATGCTTGAACCTAATACGTTTAGCCGATTGTATCCACAAATAATATTCCCCCCTCGTTCTGGATGAACTCAAGGACCTACGAATTTGAAAATAAAACTACGATTCTTGAGGGTATATTACATGAACCCTCAACATTTACATTTTTTTCTCAAAACTGTCTTCACATTTTTATTTATTGTTTGACTTGAATAGAGCAAAAGGATGCTCAAAAATGACGCAGTTTCCATTTTCGTTGAACTATTTGAATTTTAGAGATTTTTTCTTCAAGAAATCTATTCTTAAAACATGCCGCTCTAAATTAGATTACAATACGAGATACACTATTTCAAAATATGAGTAGTAGCATAATTGTGTGCGAAATGTAGGCAGTTAATTTTTTGTTTCAAAAACGGCTTTAAATGACGATATGAAAATGGTGCAAGGCTCATTTACTGCACGAAACTTCCAAAATATTAACATTGCAAAACTACAATATTGATAATAGAGATATTTTTCTTAATGAAACCTGTTCTTAACAATAGATTTTAAAATAAGACCAAATGCAATTTTTAGAAAAATATTAGATATTTCACATAATTGTTGCATATCTTTGAAATTGCAAATTGGAATTTCTTGTGCTTCTTTGGCTGAAGGAAGCTCTCCAAGATATATCAGGTCGCGACGCTGGCAACGCCGCAACACGGCAGTTTGAAATTTTCAGAATTACTTTTCATTGTTGGGCAATGTTTTTTTCTGTATGGAGTGACTGTTATGGCATTTTGGATTCTTGAATTTGTATTGATATATTAGCATTAAAAGAATTATCTTTCGCACCCAATGCGCCATGATGAATTTTGAAAATGATCGCTCAGATGGGTTGACTTGGCTTGATGACTGAATGATGACTGATGGCTTGATGACTGAACGGACTTGGTTGATGGCTGAATGGCTTGGAATTGCGAAATTAACATATTACGTTCCTAATGCAAGAAAATACAAACAGTTGTAACACCGTTAGTTTAATTAAGTTCTATAAACGCTTTTACGTTTCTCTGTCAATATTATTTCTAAAGAGACAAATCTGTGTGAGAAAAAAATACAACAAAAACAGTACAAGATGAATAAATACGTAATAAATGCGTGACCTTTCATATCGCGAGTAGTTCTGCTCTCGATGCGGTTGCGTTGAGCAGCAAGAATCGCAAGAGAAACCAAACACAGTACTCCCCGTACGGAATGGCTCGATGCGGTGGGCGAGGTGCGCGTAGAGGCCCTCGCAGATGCGACCCTTCCCCGAGCGGAGGCCGCTTGTCCTCGTCGCAGGTTGGTCCCCTCCTCATCCATTACCTCGCCCCACTCCCCCCNCGCCGCGCCGTCAGAATTGCATTCCCCGTGGACGTTTGCGGCGGCGGCGGCGGCGGGCATTGTGCCCCGGGACAATGCGACGCACGGGCGCGACCGAAGCGTTTTCTTTGCGGTGGACGGCAGCCGGTGGCTGAAGGGGCAGCGGAGGTGACGGGGATGGAGGGAGCAGGCGACAGTTGCGTTAATAACGACTGAATCTATGGGAAGACAGCGAAGGCGGAGACGGTTGTGAGTGTGGATTTTTTTTATTTTTATTTTTATAATATATCTTTATTAGTGAACGAATATACATAGTTCAGTATTATTTATACTTCATCATATGTATTTTTTATGACTTATATTTAACTTAAATGCTAATCTTACAACTAGATCTAACTACACATGAATAGGAAACTTACAGAGCACCTATGTGATTAATTGAGTTCTGAAAATATGCTGAGGAATGAATCTAATGAATATCTATTTTTTATTCTTGTTGGGAGCTGGTAGGTGGTGGCTAGGCCGTGGTGGGTGGCTTGGGTTATTGTGTTTATTTTGGAGAAGAAATTGTTAGATAGGAGGGCGATATGGTAAAGTATAGGAGGTAAATTAAATTCTTTATGCAGTTGAATGTTTGAGATGAACCAGGGTGCATGAGTGGCAAGTCTGAGGAAATTATTTTGGATGATCTGTAATTTATTAATATTAGTTTTTGAGGCATTGATCCAGATAGGGCATGCATAAAGCATTAGGGGTGAGTGTGGAGTGTGGCAGCGGAAGGGGAGGGGTGGTCGGTAGCGATGGAGTAGGCACTGACATTGACGGATGACGGAATGGTTGGACATAACTTTTGCTACCTTATGAAGAACAAATAGCAGATACTAATAAGCGAACTGGGCTGGCTGCGTGAGCTGATGTGTGTCGACCAACGGAAGCCTGTCAGCAGATACTGCCATCAATGCGCTACTGCCACTAGCCGGCGCCGGGTTGGTGCGCTCGCGTGCCGAGAGCCGCAAATGCCGAGGGCTAGCCTATTGTCCTTTTTAAATATAGTGACTTGTGACAGATCACTAGCTGGTTGTGGTTATCCAATGGATCCGTTGGATGCGGTGCATTTACCAGGTTGTTCTGACGATGATAATAGGTGCAATGATCAGAGTCTCGAACTCTTTTGCGTTTGACTTAGAGCACATTCCGTTGACATAAGACGCATACAATCCTGGACTTTTGTTTTGCAAAAAATGTTGTTTTTGCTGTATTCATCCCACAACACTCTCTTAGATCTGTCAATAGGATTCCGTTTCGTTGCTTTCTCTGTACCTTGTTTAAGCGATGAAAACAAGATTATATATGTAGGACACATATAGTTTATTTTAAACTCCGCATTGTGTATAAATGCTCATTAAAAATATTTTGCGAGAGAAGAAATCTCTCAGACTCAGAGTGTCCAAGGAAAAATAAACGAAAATTTGGAGATAAACTCAAGAGTAAAATTTAAGCATTTAGTGACTAATTAATTCCTAGCCTATTTAGAATAATTGCACTATAGAATTCCGAAGTTGGTTTGATATAAAACACTTTCGATACAAAAAAAGAAAAAGATTTCGGACAAATAAAACCACTCTAGGAATATGCAAATAGTTTATTGGTTGCAAAGGAAATAAATATATTGGTTTAAAAAGAAAAAGCACAGAAAAGAAATTGAATT